GCACCAGAAGTGGGGTGTCGAGATGAAAGCCAGATAAAATCTCCAGCTATCTTTTCTCTCTCTCTCTCTACTTTAAATCTCGCGCAACATTTTGGTACGCCTTATGAGCATTTTCCGGCCCCATTGATGCCATGTTTGAAAAGACGAGAAATCTAGAATGATTGACTTCTCATCATTCTCTTTTATGCCAACTACTTCTCTAAAAGATGGTAAATATTGCACTTTCTTTACAGACAGTCCTCATGAATCATTGTGGCACGATGACCAACCTTTGCTTTCAGATTTTCTGCACACGGCCAAAAACGCATCTGATCTGTTACCACTTCCGATGCTCAGCAGGGATGCCTCCAAAGATGTGGTTCCCAGAGTTCGCCGCGTGCGCAGAAAGGCAGCTGAATCTATGATCAACAAAATGATGTATAAGGGAGCATTCGAAGTGTCATGACAGTGGAGCTGTCTTGGAAGACCTTGCCTTTTGCGCGATAGTAGAGAGGACATTACGCCTTACAAATAATCAATTACTTGCAATCAGTTATTTGCAGTGTATCAACATAACAGGGTTTATTACACTTAGTTACATAGAGAGTGAGAGCAGTGACACGGAGACACCGAGCATAGCTTCACTCCGGCTCCCCAGTCGAAGCGCCGACTTAGTCCCCATCTGCCGGAACACGCGCGACATACTGCCAAGGCGGCTGTGCCATCTACCCAAGCACATTACAACTGCCTACACAGCAATTTTCATGTAATTTTGTAATATAATCTATCAATTTTACTAAACTGTAACATTCTGCAACATTTATTAAGGGTATTCCTTCTATTACATGATATTAATAGTGTTATTTTACAAATGAGTTTCTACAATTATTGTGACTGCAGTAGAACAATAGCTTGGTGCACCTTTCTCGACTTTTTGGTCATGAACAAGATCATGACTTTTTGCTCACAAGCAACGACACTGGCACTGGAATTTCTGCAAAATGAACTGTGATGCTAACGCTTTAAAATGCATGATATGCCATCTAGTGGAACAAGTTTCCTTAACACATGTAAAATTGCATGCCAGAAATGTACAATTGCACCAAGCATCACAAAATGGGAATTTCCATCTGTAAGTGTTTCAAACATCTGCCTATCGCCAAGCGCTTAGACACATGAATCAATCTCTGAAAAAGGTAAAAACAAAAGGGGCAACTTTGCATGCTCGTGTATGCCTTACAGACGTGTAGTGGGCCCATGCTTTGTTAAACTTGCATGGTATTATTGCGCGAAAAGTGTATAGAACTACCGTAGGCTGCTGTCATAGTATGTGCTCTGCAACTTGTCAGGGAGATGAGTTACTATCAGTTGCAGTTTATCCTTTTCAGCCCTGGAGTTTTTATTTCTTGCGTAGATTTTTTTAGTTACCATATTTTATATCTCAAGGACTCTAGAAACATGACTGAGCATAAAAAACTTCATTCGTGTGATTATTTACCGATTTACGTTCATGTCGTCAAAACAGCACATTAGGGCTCAGTGGTTACAAAACAAGGAAAAGTTGCTTTATTGTGACGTCAAATACACAGTATGGTTCCAAACACAAGTTTCATTATTTGTGCGTATGGAAGCCTCGAAAAGTTTCTAGCTTTCGCAGGGCACAAATGCACATTAAATTTCCCACACATTATGCGTGTTTGTCCCGTGCATCCCTCTAGCTTTTAACGCTGCTCCCTGCTGTTGGAGCGAATGGGCCAGTGTCCCACCTCGTCATATCGCACATCCTGCACCGGCCTATTTTCGGCATATTTTGGATTTTTAGAAGGTTGCAAAGATGAAACTGATGGCCTCCCTCGTTTTTTTCGCATTGGGCGGACTCTCGACTGGTGCAAGCACTTGCACAATACGCAGAGTGAAATCCAGTAAGTCCAGTTGACTGGCAGGCGCTAGCCCTTGTGCGGGCAAATCTCTTCTGCATTCAAGCCATGCATTCACTACTGAGGCACTGATGATGTGAAATATCCTCAGCGTCCACTTTCGGGTCTGGATCTTCGTGCGGTAGAGTGCTACTAGGAAGTCGGTTTTATCGACTCCGCCCATGCTGGTGTTGTACATCCTTACAACAGCTGGGCGTTTCACTTCATGTAGCACGCATCTCCCTTGCTCCAACGCTTTGCGGTGTCCTCGTCATCAACGGCCACAAAGTTCGATGCCATAGTCACAGCCTTATTGTCGTACCATCGCGTGACCGCCACTTTCCCGTCCTTGCTGACCAGAGAAGTTTAAGAACCATGACCTCTCTTTAGATTTTGCTCCAACTCCAACGGGCATTTTTGGCAACGGTTGGTTCAAATAGTTCCTGCAGCAAATATTTTCTTATCAAGCAGCATGCGCAGCAGAGGCAGTGACGTGAAATAATTGTCGAAAAATAGTTTGTGCCCCTTGTCGCAGGGAATCCGCTGTGCAAGCTGCGATACTATAGCGTCTGTCACACCATACTGTTGCTTTAGGCTTTCATCTAGCCTTGTTGTGGACACAAGGCCGGACTCATCACAAAGCATGAAGATTTTTACACCCCAGGGGTGTGGTTTTCCTTTCACATACTGTTTGATATCCAGCTTTCCTTTGAAGGAAACAATTTGTTCGTCATTACACACGCGTTCCTCGATCTTTAATGAGAGGCATCTTTCTTCAAATTTATCAAGAAGGGGTCTTACCTTCCAGAAGCGATCATTTCGGTCAGGCAGAGACACGTCAGCAATATGCAGATTGTGCCTCAGTTTCTCGAAGCGGTTGCGTGGGAGCTCGGTGGATGCGACCAGCCTAGTCTTCATTTCCGGCTTCCAATATAAACGCAGCTTTGGGTATCGCATGATGTCCATGAAGAGGTAAAGGGAAATTAGTTGTCGGATTTCCTGTTCACTTGTATTGACACTTCTTCCTTCTTGCAACAAAGAATACTGGTTAGTTTTCTCTGCCATGTCAATAAACTCTCTCTTGGGACCATAATAACTGAAGTACTCTCACGGCGAGGGCATCTCTTCATTTTTCAACGAAGGAAGTTTGTCGCACTCAAAAGATGTGTTTGGCTCGATGAATTTTTTTTTTGTCCATGCTGCAGCAGATGCTTCGCAATCACTGTCTGCGCTTTCCTCCTGGCTTTCATCGTTTTCTGGCTCGGGCTTCTCAAGTTAATCACCCACATCGGAGGAATCGTCGAATTCTCCCTCTACATAAGACAAATTCCCGTTGTACAGTTCACGAAAAAGTGCATCTGTAAATTTTTCTATATCCCTTCCATAGAACGCTGATGCTGATATACCAGGTTTTGGTACGCCTGCAAAGAAAAAAAAAGCTCATTGTAGTCGGATGCCAACGCTAGTCAATGGCCGGCCAGCGTGCCATGCATAACCACAAAGCCCTGCTGTCGTGAAAACCACACATGGAAAAACACCTTTTTGCGAAAAATCCGCATGTGCCATGACGTTCAAAGACCCGTGTTATCGGCTACATGTGTAGATATTATAAGGAAAATCACAGCGTTCAATATCTAGCTGCTCATTAATTATAAAAGACGCAAAAGTGCACATACCTGACGATGCGTCTGCCATGTTTGTTGTCGTTTCTTCTTCCTGCAACAATGCTTAGCCAGACCACGTGACTAATGATGGCAATGGCACTATCACTTTCACGGCTACGTTTTGAAAAAAATTACAAGCTCTTTTGGTTCTGTTTTACGCTGAAAAGGAGGTTTGTATGTCGTGTCGTCAATTGACGACGCCAGGGCCGAAAGGTTTATGTAGATGTTGCTTGAAAGTTGAAAGACAAATCACTTCACAAGCTACTTCATAACATGCTCGATCACGTGCCTTTTATTGGGTTGCTAATAGTTTTAAATCTGTATTCTCAGTCTGTGTAATTGTAGAGTTTCTAATAATCACTAGAATTGATTCATGTTTTCTCCACGAAAGTGTGTTCAAGGTGTTATCACTTCGTAGAATTCATAAAGTAAGCATAACTAACAGAGTTAGAAATGCGAATTTTTTTTAGGCACTCTATCAAAAGCAGTACTCTGTTCACTTCTTGGCGGATACCAACCCATGAAATCATATGCTCCAGTCTCGAAGTGTCGATGGAGAATCGAAATAATGGATTATTGAAAATTCCCTGTGTTCAGTAGAAACAGGCGAGTCTGCGTCCCACAAATGCTGAAATCTGTTCGGGAGACCTTTCCATTGGGTAAAACAGTCTCCTGTTCTTCCACAAAACATTCTATATACCATATCGAATCCCGTTGTCTCGCCACTCGCAGTTACCCAACCGGCTCTGTGCTAAAGAAAAAGCAAACAAAAGGCAGTGTTGTCTGCAGCAATGCCCACCACCGCAAGAAACCATCAGGGAAGCGATGCCAGAGGTGCAACCAATCGTTTATAACGAAGCCTGATCTCGCGGCACATGTGCTGCCCCGAAATGACACATTTGGGTAAATGATTTAATTTACCCAAATGGGTCATTCGGAGCACACCTTCACACTCACACGGGAAAAAAGTCCTATCATTGCCCATATGCACAATATCATTTACAAAAAAAAAAAAGTTATATCGAGGCACACCTTCGCTCTCACACTGGAGAGAAGCCCTACCGTTGCAACATATGCACTAAATCATTTACACAACAGAGTAACCTCGAGACACACCTTCGCACTCACACAGGAGAGAAGCCCTACTATTGCCACATATGCACTAAATAATTTACACAACAGGGTAATCTCGAGGCACACCTTCGCGCTCACAAAGGAGAAGCCCTACCATTGCCTCATATGCACTAAATCATTTACACAACAGGGTAATCTCGAAGCACACCTTCGAAACTCACACAGGAGAGAAGCCCTACCATTGCCACATATGCACTAAATAATTTACACAACTGGGTAATCTCGAGGCACACCTTTGCACTCGCAAAGGAGAGAAGCTCTACCATTGCCACATATGCACTAAATAATTTACACAACAGGTTAATCTCGAGGCACACCTTCGCTCTCACAAGGAGAGAATCCCTACCGTTGCCACATATCCACTAAATCATTTACACAACAGGGTAATCTCGAGGCACACCTTCGCACTCACAAAGGAGAGAAGCTCTACCATTGCCACATATGACTAAATAGTTTACACAACAGGTTAATCTCGAGGCACACCTTCGCTCTCGCACAGGAGAGAATCCCTACCGTTGCCACATATGCACTAAATCATTTACACAACAGGGTAATCTCGAGGCACACCTTTGCACTCAAAAAGGAGAGAAGCTCTACCATTGCCACATATGCACTAAATAATTTACACAACAGGTTAATCTCGAGGCACACCTTTGCTCTCACACAGGAGAAAATCCCTACCGTTGCCACATATGCACTAAATAATTTACACAACAGGTTAATCTCAAGGCACACCTTCGCTCTCACACAGGAGAGAATCCGTACCGTTGCCACATATGCACTAAATCATTTACACAACAGGGTAATCTCGAGGCATACCTTCCCACTCACAAAGGAGAGAAGCCCTACTATTGCCACATATGCACTAAATAATTTACACAACAGGGTAATCTCGAGGCACACCTTCGCGCTCACAGAGGAGAAGCCCTATCATTGCCACATATGCACTAAATCATTTACACAACAGGGTAATCTCGAGGCACACCTTCGCTCTCACACAGGAGATAAGCCCTATCATAGGGGGTACGGCTCAAGTTTCGCCGCGCGCGTGCAGCGCCGTTTCCTCCCCTAGCGGCCTTTGCTCCAATTCATTGCCGCACACGGGGCGCGCTCGTCCGCAGATTCGCTTGGAGTACGCTGCTTGCTGCTTCGCCGTGATGAAAACTAGCACGCCTAAGAGGAAAAGACCGGGCTCTAAATATTGTTGTGTAGTTGGGTGCCACAATAGCGTCGCAAACACGAAGGGAAAAGAGCCCATCGTCTGGTTCTATTCATTTCCCGGCAAGTGTTACGAGACAGACCGCCGAGAAGCCTGGATTAGGGCTGTGCGGCGGAAAAAGTGAGTGACCGTTTCTCTGTCTTTCTCCTGTCATTCAGTAGCTGAACTGCACTAAATTACCTTGCTTTCTAATAGCTCTGATGGCTTCCCGTGGCTCCCGCAAAAACACATACGAATATGCAGCAGGCACTTCGTGAATAATGCGAAGAGCGAGAGCCAGGCCAACCCAGCCTACCTGCCGATTCTGTTTCCGGATGTTTACAAAAAGCAACGGGTAAGCGGTGAGAGACACGAAAGGTAAGATGAAGGGTAGAATCAGCCAGATTTCGCACTGACCTATACTCGCCCTGCTTTTACCGCAGGTGGGCAAAGCGGATTCGATCAGCTGCTAGAAATTTGACGTTGCCTCATCCACCTGAGGAATCCGCACCTGTGGACGTGCTGTCGAACGCGTCGGAGGCCGACTGCTCGCCAGACGCGAATGCGCAATCAAAAGCCTTGGAGCAGGGCTCGCTGCTCTTGAGGGAGGTGGAAGTCGACGCTCAGCAGTTCACATTGACTTGCATCGCGGTTAGTTGTCTTACAATGTGCAGATCGCAGGCTATGTGACCGTTGGCATGTAGCTCACCATGTATCATTGTTTTTCTTCGAACTACGCAGGAAACGCAGACAGATCCTGTGTGCTGCAAGGGTCCTTTGCAGCTCATGCCGTCTGCAACTGATGGAACCCATGGGTCCACACAAGTCACTCACGATGCTCAAGCAGACAAGGTGATTTTTTTTTGCACTTAAAGCAACATACTTTCAACTCCTTCAATGGGGTAACTAAAAAAATAAATCTACAATTGAATTGTGCACCTGTTAAAATTATAAATTTGTACGCACTTAACTTACCTTTCACAATTAATCAACGTAGCGCGTTAGAATCATAGGACAAGGGGAAGGACAGCCCCGCCGCGGTGGTCTAGTGGCTAAGGTACTCGGCTGCTGACCCGCAGGTCGCGGGTTCGATTCCCGGCTGCGGCGGCTGCATTTCCGATGGAGGCGGAAATGTTGTAGGCCCGTGTACTCAGATTTGGGTGCATGCTAAAGAACCCCAGGTGGTCAAAATTTCCGGAGCCCTCCACTATGGCGTCTCTCATAATCAAATGGTGGTTTTGGGACGTTAAACCCCACAAATCAATCAAGGGGAGGGACAGAAGGGAGCGCTTACTTCCAACAAACTTTTATTTCGAGGAGCGTACATATATATGCTCACGAAATTTGAATACAGCAGCCAAACAGATGAAAAGCCCTCTATTGCCATGCGCTAAAAACTTATGATCTCAAAAACGACAATTCTTTATCACAAAGACTGAGAGAAGGAGTGCTGACGCAGTTCAGCCTTAATCTACTAATCCTTTCTGCTTCAATAATCTCCCTTGTCACTTTATTTTTGTTTTTTTCCTATGATTACCGTATCATAAAAAAGTGGTTTGCAGCCACACGTGCTGCAATGTAGTGCCAAAAAACCATCTCGACCATTTTTTACGTTGCAGGCGTGTTCGCGGAGCCGGTCAATAATACACCTGCCAGTTTGCCCTATGTAGTGTTTACCGCATGAAAGGGGTATCTGATAGATTACAAATTGCGCGTATGTGACAAACAATGTTAAGTGCTTTTTAGAGCATCCCGGTTTTGCATGTGAAACAACTTTCATACACAAGTACGAGAGCTTTTTCGGGGCAGAAAACACCACCTTTACATGAGCCCGCTCCCCAACCTTCTTCAAGTTGTGGGAGATTCCATGCAAATAAGGCACTACGGCAAGCTTCTGACGTCTTACTGGCTCAACATGAGGGAGATCTTGCTGCAAGGTCTGAAGCTTCTTGACCAGAATTCCTGCGACGGAAACCTGTACGTGATAGGGGTAGCCAGCGTCCAGAAGTCGTTCTGCTTGTTCCTTGAAACTAGCTGCCATCAGATGTGGACAAGACTTCTGTAAGGCGTTACTAAAGCACATGTTTACAATGCCTCGTTTTACGAGCTTAGTATGGACGGAGTGGTACGAAAGCAAGGGTTTGTTACTCCTCGGTTTGTACGTCCAACAAATGTGCTCTAGGTGAAAAATGAGAGCGATATCTAAAAATCTGAGAGTGTTATTAACAGGCAACTCATGGGTTAAAACAAGGAGACTAAACCGCTCCTTGATACAAGGAGGAGTATTGAGCTGCACACTTTTCATAGTTAAAATGAATTCCTTGCACCTGTCTCTTCCGCAAAATATTTTTTACTGCATATATGTCGATGATGTGCAGATTGGTTACAAATCGTGCAACATCTCAATGTGCCAACGTCAAGTTCAACTAGGGTTGAGCAAGGTATCTCAATGGGCAAACGAGAATGGCTTTATACTCAACGCGCAAAAGAGCACTTGTGTCTTGTTCAGCCGAAAGAGGGGCCTCCATCCTGACCCCGACATTGACCTGCATGGTCAACCTCTGTCAGTGAAGACCGAGCACAAGTTTCTTGGTCTCATATTAGACACTAAGCTAACCTTCATCCCACACATCAAGTATTTAAGGGACAGGTGCTTAAAAACAATGAACATTTTGAAAGTGTTGTCACGCACTACATGGGGTAGTGACAGGAAATGTTTAATTAACTTATATAAAAGCCTCGTACGCACACGCCTAGATTACGGTGCTATAATTTATCAGTCGGCAACACCATCAGCCTTGAAAATTCTCGACCCTGTCCACCATCTAGGCATTCGCCTCTCTACGGGTGCTTTCCGCACCAGCCCTGTGGAGAGCCTGTACGTGGATTCGAATGAATGCTCGCTCCACCTACAAAGATGTTCCGTGTCCTTTTTGTACTTTTTGAAGGTGAAGGCAGACAAGAAACACCCTTCCCATTTCACAATTAATGATTTGTCTTGTTCTAACTTGTTCGAGAACCGTCCTTCGTTTAGGCAGCCCTACGCGCTGCGTGTAAGGAGCCTGGCCGAAGAAACAGGTGTGCCTCTTGAACACAGTTTGATGGCTCCTGCAACATATCTGTCACCGTGGCAGTGGCAGCTTATAGACTGTGATGTCTCTTTTGTTGATGTCACAAAGCACGCAGCACTTGCACACATACATACATACTTCCTAGAACTACAACATAAATACACATGCCCTGAGTTCTTTACCGATGCATCAAAGTCAAACACTTCTGTGTCATATGCAGCAATAGGCCAATCCTTTTCCGAGGCCGGCGTTCTTCATCCTAATGCAAGCATTTTCACAGGAGAAGCTTACGCAATACTGGCAGTCGTAAAACACATTAAACAGATAAAATTACAAAAGGCGGTAATATACACAGATTCCCTAAGCATGGTCAAAGCCCTGAAAACTCCTAAAAAACACAAGAACCCCGTGCTGGTGTCACTTTACTCACTTCTGTGCACACTCTACACATCAAAACAGCATGTCGTTGTCTGCTGGGTTCCAGGGCATCGTGAAATACAAGGGAACGTTTTGGCCGACAATCTGGCTGCTTGCGCCAATGTCACTACTGCCAATGCATCAACACCAGTCCCTGCACTTGACTTAAAACCTTTTATAAAACGAAAGCTCAGGGGGTATTGGCAGAGCATGTGGGATAAACACACAGATAATAAACTCCATGCTATTAAGCCGCAACTAGGTTATTGGCTGCCACTATCTAAATCATGACACACAGAAGTAATACTAACAAGGCTTAGAACAGGACACACACATTCTACACATTCATTTCTTCTGTCTACTGGTGATCCACCATATTGTGAGACATGTGGAGAGCCCCTTACAATTCTCCACATTCTCGTCCAGTGCAATGAGCTAGATGCTCTAAGAAAAAAGCACTTTTTACTGCCCTACCGACAGCAGCTCCCTGGGATGCTCATCGGTAGGGATCCGCTTTTTAAACTGCAAACACTTTTTACGTTTTTAAAAGATGTGCAAAGCTTTCACCCGATATTTCGAGGTCATCCGTAGCACGACCTCTATAGAGTGGTCGTGGCTGCGGTGACTACATCTTCATCATGGTTTTATTACCATGACATTTCGCCATCAGCTATCACCATACATATGTCACGCCACGGTCATGATTTTATTGCTTTCATGTTTTAACCCGCGTTAGAGCGAGGAATTTTAAGGCCCCTTTACAGCCACGCACCATATCATTGTTCATATCTGTAGTCAATAGAAATGGCGCTCTTTGGCCATCCATTGGCCCTTGCGCCACTAAACACTACTCATCGTCATCATCAAACCGCTCCTTGATGAAGTTGAGGATATCTAGGGCACAAAAAGTGGGGTCACAGTCAAGAAGAATGAGGAAGTCGTCAACAAATCTAAAGATGCGCATGATTCGGTTGTCACTAAGGTCACCGGAAATGGTTCTGTCGAGCTTGGCTAAAAACAAATCACTTAAGGGGGGACATGGGCCTTGGGCAAAACATTTATTGCTACTGCTACTAGAGTAATGAAACTTGCAGGTAATATGTAATTTAATGTGCTGATTTCAAATATGCAACCAGTTTTTCTGTATCTCACGAAGAAAAAATTTTATACAACTTTTTCTGTTTTACACTTCTGGGATGACTGGCAAAAAATATTTTACAATAACCAAGCTAAAAATTATATTTATATATTCCTGAATGCTCAACGAGTGCAAGAAGCATAATTTCGTGTTTCTACATTTATTTTATCCCAAGTTATAAAAGTTCAAAAATTTTTATTGAGACATGAATTCTTTGTCTGTTGTTTGCCCAAAATTTCAAAATGTTTCAGGGTGAAGAAACATTGTATTATAGGCATATTGCACTCTTTGGAAGTCTAGCTATAAGACAAAAAAAACCCCATTAAAATTGGATGATTAGAAGGGTAACAACAGCCACCCAGAAAATTGGAGACGGCCAATAAAAGTGTTTTGAGAAAAGTGGGAAAAACTAATAGACATGTGAAAAAAGCCTTTTATTCTCCTGGATGGGCGAAATTACAACAGCCAGTGGCTCAGAAGGCTCCTGGAGAATAATCTGGGTGGGGCTTTCCTCTTTGCCTCCGCTTTGCAGCTGCCTGAAAGGCTGCTGATGACCCCCTCTTCCTTTCTGCATTGATAGTGCGTTGGGAGTCCTTTTCATTAGCCCTTCGGCTACCCTTGGCGGTTTGCTCTACTTGGAGCTCTCGCAATATGCTTGAGCTGGCATTGTGGGTGCCAAGGTTGAACCTCATCACAGCCTCTCCAACTGCTGCCCATTCGCTTCTGAATGTGGTTGGTGCACTCTTCTTTTACCACAGGAATAAAGCCATAAACTTTGGCTTCATCAATGGCAATGAATGAGCGGCTGTCACCATCACAGAGCATGGTTGTATATCTGAGGCCATGCAGAGAGAGTGAACGTTGAAACAGAATCTTTGCTGCCTCAACTTCCATTTGGCCTGCCTTGCAGCTTGTGTTTTTTTGGCATAAGTGCTGTGCCTTCCATGCAGCATAATCTGGGCTATCTGGCTGCGGCCCACACTCACAGCCGAGGCAGAAATTGGAGAGAACCACGTAATCTAGCACATATCCTGTAAATAGCTCAATCACGGTGGCCAAACCAATGTGAGAAGAGTGTCCACGTGTGTGCCATGAGCCATCAAAACAAACAGCAATGTTACCCGGATTTCCAAAATTCAGGTCACTGTACAGCTGTTTCACTTCGGCAGCACACTTTGCCAAGTTCTCAGAGCATGCTTTTGCCGTAGCTGGGTTCAGCTTGGTCTTCAAATAATGCTGGTAGGTCTTATTGTGAAGACCTCTGTGAGAAACTCCAATGGCAGAAAAAATGTCATTTAGGGCAGTCTGCCCATTCCCCGTGCTTTGCACCGCCCGTGCAGCGAGAATATTTATTTCGAAGGGATTGCACGTCGCCGAGCCAGCAACTCGCCGCGAGCTCCACTGCGATCGCAGTTCACCGCAATTGCTGCACGACACTGTCAGTTTCACGGCGATGCCGTACTCACGCGTGTCCCTCTCAATAGTTAGATCACCACGGCACACACGGCAACTACCAACCTCGAACAGGTTATTTACAAGGTCCAGGTCAACAACCGTATACGCCGTGGTTGAACTCGGGGCACTGTCACTCGCGACGCACTTCATTTTCCTTTCCGTCGCCGATACTGACGCTAGCTGGGAAAGTCTCTGCTGCGTTTGTTGCTCGCGCAAAGCACAATCTGCACTTGTTAAAAAAGTCGAGTCCAATCTTGTGCGCTCAGGCCGCGCAGCTCCGGTGTCCTGCACGGCCGCTGCCGCAACCGTCGGGGCGAAGTCCAGGGCGTGCGCGTCAGTCGCCGCCTCGCGTTCCGCCGTTGTCGTGTTATCTGATGTTGGTCCAAGGTGCACAGCGGGCTCCGTCGAAGGCAGCGATGCATTTCTTCGCTTCGCAACACGCTTCCGTCGCGATTTGCCGAACTTGTGCGCGGTGCGAAATTTCCGATAACCGTTAGGCATGGCGCACGACGACAGACGACAATGGTTTCGTACAAGACCATGCAACGCGCAGAAAATGTTCAGCGTTCCGCGAATCAAAATACAACAAAAAGATTCGCTTGCCATGGTAAGGTAACTCAGCGTACTTTTGAAACGAGGAACGCCGACTTGCTTTCCTTATTGAGCAACTCAGCGTCTCAGCACTGTGCACGAGCGGTTGACGGTCACGTGATCTCATTGCTCCCTTTGTTTCTTGTTTGTTTTATTTCCCATACACAGACGCGCACTGCGCCAATTATATAGCCAGGGTGGAGGGGATCGCACGCAAGAAGACACCGAAGCTGCGCGGTCAAGGTGAGAGAGCAAACAGCATTTATCGTCTGCTTCCTCCGCCGAACAGACGGCTTTTTATCATTGCGGCGGCTGAGCAGTGAAGGGTTACCATCGCAGTGACCCTCCTAGGTTTCAGCACGGATCCATTCCTGATTTCGTACTTCGCGAGGACCGCCGCGTTCATGGAGGACAGCATGGAGGACGACTACAGCGAGGGCACCCAGACGTCGTCCACGCTTACCGAGAACACAATGCCCGAGTTGCCCGTGCCGACCTCGGGCCGTGGCCGGCGCCGCACAACTTCTGCTCGCGGTCGCCGCACCACAGCTAAGCCTCGCGGTGAGTGTCTTCGCCATCTTGGCATGCATCTGGATGGTTCTTGATTCTTTTCGATTCTCGATAGGCTGGTAGTGAGTTTTATGAATGATGCACCAAGTTTTGGCGAGCACCAGTGCCCCGGCTGTTTTTTTTTTTTTCCCGTCGCAGCGCGTGTGCGTTATCGTGCAACTTTAGGGCGTGCAATCGAAATCAGCTGCCCGCTTGATTCTCATGGATCGCGATGGCAGACGTCTCCATGATGGCTTCCCGGACCGTCCGTGGAACGTTCTTTGTTCACCGTTTGTTTGTTTGCTTTTTTTCCTCCTTTATTTTGCCTCATTGCGGAACTCTGCTTGGCTATATATTTTGTTATTGTGCTAGACATTGTTGATTCTCGGCGAAATATCGTCGCAGATGTTAATTCAGGGTGTTTTCAAATACTTTTTTTTTAGAACGGAGCAACTTCGCTCCTACCGTTGATTTGAAAGTCACCTTGAAACACGCTTCAAGTGCTCCAGACGACGACGCGTAGAAAACTCAGCTGCAGTTGTAAATTCTTGCTGCGAAAAACTTTTCTCACCCAATTTATTTTCGTGACTTCACCTGCACATGACAAAATTACATTATTATTATTATTATTATTATTATTATAGTTAGGTACGCTAGTGCGCTATGTCGACCTCCGCAAAGAGAGTGTCTGCGGAAGCGTAATTCTGTCCTCGCTTTATTCATCAGTGTGTTATCAGTTGTGTATTGTTATCAGGTTTGCTTGGATAATATTTTAACTGTCTTGATAACAGCCTCTTCAACGGTACCGAAGGAAAGCACGCTTGTTATTTTTTTTGTTCTGTATCTTTTGTTCTCCAAATTCTTCATGCTCTTGACTTCAATAAACTCACCGCCAACCTCCAAAGTGTTTGTAATAAAAATATTCTTTATCGGTGCCAAGGTTCGTCAAGCTTGTTTTCCGTGTCGTATTAGGAGAAAATGACTTTGAGAGAACGCGGTAGCAACACACACCACGTTTATGACAAAGCACGAAAGAAAAACATAGAACACAGAACCAGAAAAACCGTGAAGTTGAATAAGTAACAAAATTGTCTGATCGAATAAGAAAACTACAGATCGCGAGTTCAAGGCGGAAAGTTCCAAAACCTCACGATGAGATAGGGGGCCCGACGAACACCGAGGTGCAGGGCAGGAGGCGGCGACAGGCGATCGGGAGCGGGGTGCGCCTCGATGTGCGATGCTATGGTGATGGTGACGCTTGGCGGAGTCGGGGCGTGAATACGACTACGGAGCAGTCAACCCGCATCGGAGACGCGATGCTCCATGCGGTAATGGGCCAGCCTGTCCAGCGAACAGCTTGCGTCGAGACGCGATGCTCGGCGCAACCGTGACCATTAGCCAGGCCACGTACATTGCTGTGCCGAACGTCAGACCACGGAGATGCCTCGCCGAGATCCGCGTGCCCTCGGCAAGGAATAGAACAGCAGGCCAGGCCACGCCCCGAGATGCAGTACTCGTGCCGGCTACGTCACTCCAGCTGGTAGTTGGACGGCAGTAGCGTGGACTGCCGCGTTCTCCATGGCCGGAACCTGGATCGCCTGCGTCCGACGCTTCGGCCCGCTGTCTCCCGTCTGCCGCTGCTTCGGCTCGTCCCCAGCCACAAAGCTTACCGCCACGTAATCGTCACACGTGGCCCAATCATGGCACGCCACCTCTATGGGCCACCACAGGTCATCAGCTGATTCGCTGACACTGACGCGCACATTACACGCGCCTTGCCCCGCACTTCCGTCGTTGTCGTTTTCTTCACTCATCACAGTGTTGTTTGCTTAGAGTTACCGCAGCGAATAAATCTCTTTTTGTTTTTCACGTTATCAACCGAGGCTGTCCTCGGTTATCAAGTTTTTATATACCGTCATTGGTAAGGGCCTATTTTGGATAATGTATCAGACTCTGTGGAGAGCCGACCAGTTACATGTCCATGGCTGTACCGATTATAGCCGCATATTACCGGCAACGCTGGCTACCACATACACTCGAACAATACCAGCACTGTTGTTTAGAGGTAACTGACGTTAGACAATGGTGTGTGACTAATGCATAGCCTTGGCTGTAAAAGTATGGGAAAATAATTTGAGGTAACACTATTCCAGAGAACACTATACAACAATTGTTTTTCAGCACTTTGTTTACCAAGAGGCCTAATATATTGTTACGAGTAACTTGTTTAATGATCCATTTACAGCGCACAGAACTCGACGAGTAAGATGGCGCCAGACCAGCATCCAACGGAAAAACCCACTTCGTCCTCCTCTTTCATGCAGCCGTGTTTAGCGGCTGTTTTGTATCATAACCCCCGGCGGTAGAAGCACCGTCCCAGTGTTAAATTTACGCAGATGATGTCGAAGGGGGGTAATAGGGCTTTAGCCGAGCCACGTGAACGGTGTCGCTCCGAGCTGACGATGACTTTGTTGGATCAGTTGGAACAATCTCGTACGTGACGTCTGTCACATGGCGAACGATACGGAATGGTCCAGTGTAGGGCGACAACAGCTTTTCCGACAGTCCCACACGCCGAGTAGGTGACCAGAGGAGCACGAGAGAACCCGGAGAATAGTGCACGTCCCTATGGTGAGAATTGTAGAGCTGTTGTTGGCGCGCCTGTGAAGCCTGTAGACGGTTACGGGCGACTTGGCGCGCGTGGTCGGCGCGGGCAATGGCTTCACCAGCATATTCAGTGGCCGCAGGTAGTAACGTGTCTAAAGGTAGAGTTGGGTCCCGGCCGCGAGTTTACAGAGGCGAGCGGATAGAGCCACCCACAATGCACCGCGGCTCAGAGCTCTTGGAGGCTATGCATTTCCGCCAGCCTAAGTGTGTTATCGCGCTGTCGCTCCCCGCACTTTCGTATAGTGTTGCCGGAGGCTGCTGCTGCAGCTAGCGGGGGCCGCCTTGCTCGCAAAGGAAACCCCTCAAGGCTTTTAGACCTGCGGCGAGTTCAGTTGGATACTCGCGAAGAAATCGTGTGCGCCCACCTGTCGCCTCTCGCAACCGAAAGCCGGCTCGTTCATGACGCAAGTGGGCACTGGAACGATGTGATCAAGAAAAGGAAAACCCTTTACGATTGACATCTCGCAATCGTTCATGTTTCAAGCAGTGCGCGCGCCTTGTATCGCCGCTGCGCTGCGCTCCTCGCTCTGCCCAACGTTTTGCCGGCCTGTTATCAACGATGTTTACTGAGTCGTATGCAATCAACACAAAACGACGCGATCACGTACTTGTGCAAGCCTTGCCTCGTCGCTGGTCAGAAAGGGGGTTTCGGAAAAATCACACTCCGCTGCGTCGCGGTCGTCACTTCAGGGTTAATTAGCTTTAGCTGATGCTCAGCACTGACTTCTAAGCTACGCATTATGAATAGGAACGTGCCATGCCACACGGAGACCTTCTAAACAGCATTGTGCGGCTTAAAAAAAGTAAAGCTTCCGGCCTCGCCCGTTCATATATTCAACGCCTCCTTGGTATATTACACGGACAAGCAAATACGCCATCGTTAAGGCAAAAGAACGCCACTGAATAAATATTGCCTATCGGCGCAAGTAAGGTTCGAACAAAAACAAAATTTTTCTGGTGCGTCCTGCAGAAAAAAGCGCCCGGGTTTTCTTTTCTTTTTTGGCGCTTCAGTGCAGCATGCATGTGTAATGCGGTGAAGCTGTGAGGGTACGCGCAACTTATAATATGCGAACCGAGCACCTCGACATGATGTTTTTCTCTTTTTTTTTTCTACAACCCGCCCTTGTCCAACAAGCAGTCATGCAAACTTTACGGCAAGTAAAAAAAAAACATACCTGGCCACAAGTGCCACATAGCCGTCACATGAAATTGAAATCAAAGCAGGAGTGCAGACCTTGCAGAGAGATACACTGGAGGATGTTCTAAAGATAGACCATGCTCTGAATGAAACATAGAGAACTTTGATGCTAGTGTCTGTGGCAGCTGCAACGCACAGCACTTCAGCTAGCATGGCAGGGATGGGTAGTACACGGAATGGTTTAGGTTCGTTTCTTTAGCTCCGTGTGGCCTGAATTGCTTTGCCACAAGACAAAGTTTTAGCAAAGGTTTAAAATCAATGCATAGCTATAAACACAGCCACAAGTGCATGGGAAGCCTGCAAACACGAAAACTAGCAAATCTGTGAAGTACCCATCATTCCATGGCAACCTAAACGACTGCAGTGCCAGAGTTACTTTTAGGAAACTATGAGACCATAAAAGTCACCCAGGATCTTGCAATTACACCTTGTTTTATTTTGCATCATTTAAAAACAACGCTTTGCTGGTGAAATGTCATTCGAAGTATCACAAGATCATTGCTTGCTTAGACCCCTCATCATCCAACCTTGTATAGGTCAGAGCCAGTCCTTACGCATGTACCTGTTCAAATAAACATCCGTGCATATGACTGCCTGATTTGTGCAAGGGATTATAGATGCAATAAGACTTTACAATTCATTGGTATACACTTTAGAAACAGATATTGAATTCAATGCAGCAAATAGTTCAACTGCCTTTTGCAACACAGCATATGCCAGGTAGAAAATGCAGCAAAGGCGAATGTTTTCTGGAAATTGTTTGGCAAAGCCTTCACAGGCATGGTGGGCAATATATCGGTTAATGGCCAGCAATGTCTATCTTCTGCGAAGCTCTGAAAGCTCTGCACGAGTTGTCTAAAATGCCTATACACCTCTTCAGCCTATGAACTTGGCGTTTCACTGCAATGTAAGGGTAAAATCAGAGGAAATAGTAAACCGCACCGCCTGTAAGACTTATAAGCTGTGTAAAAAAAAGCAATATATTTCTTAATTTTAAAGAAGCATTCTGAACAAAATTGGACCAACCGAGGCTGCCACAAAGTGGCCTTGAATATGTAAAAATACTTGCCAACATAAGCTGCTGGTCTAATGTGGAGGCCACGCATTTCAGTCAGCTGTACACATCGATGCTAAGTCTTTGTAATG